GGTTTGTCTGTCTTACAGATTCTCCAATCTTTCCTTGTTGTTTGACAGATAAGGTCTCTCTATGTAGTTCAGGCTGGATTTGAACTCACTATGTAGCCCAGGCTGGCCTTGAACTTGTGGTGATCCTCTCTCTGCCTTCCACATGCTGGGATTGCAGGCGTGCGCCACCACCTGGCAGGGCCTCCTATTTTGAGAAATCCTCTTCCGCCATGGCTCTGTAACAATCTTCCTCGACATCAGAGACCTAAAAAGAGCTTCCCAGATGTCGTGATTATGGGAATTGTGTATAAACTGAGCACTGAACAGTGAATACAGCAGAGGTATCTGGCACCATCCAGAGGAATGTGGGTGTGTTTGGGATTCAGCTAAATGATCAGAGTATACAGGTAATAAATCATTAGTACTAAAATTTGTATAGACCTACTCTCTATCTAGTGCTTTATACATATGAACAAGAGAAGGGCTGTTGTTTCTTGTAGGAGTTGAAGATGAGGCTTATACATTACATAACACGCCAGTAACAGCAGGATAATGATTCACTTACACAGAAGAGGCAGAGCTAGGACAAGAATCACAGCCTTCTTAATCTACAATTCAAGTCTTCCCACCAATCGTGTTGTCTTAACTTACTGTAACATCAACATAGAGCTATAAATGAATGAGTTTATGTAAAAAATAACTTCTTTTAATGCACTCATAAAAGACCAATCAGCTTATGAAGTCATCCTTAAATCTTTAATTAGAATTCATAGATTTAACATGTATAGATGTTTAAATTTTTCAGTGACTCATATTTTAAAATCCCTTTGCACAGTATCTTGAGGCTAACTTCATGCTAGAAATTTACAAATGTACAACTTAACATAAAAATACATTCAGAGTCCATTCCACTGCAAGTTTAAAACACTTTAATTGGTGACAATGTAAAGATATTTTAAAAACAGAAAAACTATAAAATGAACATGTAAAAGTCTTCCCTTTTGAGTTTTTAATAAAATACTGCTCTGTATAAGATCTAATGAAAAATTCCAGTTACTTATAAAATACTCATATGAGGAAAGAAATGAATTACGATATATATGTATGAGTTATACTTAATTATATTGTTTAAGTGACAAAATGTTGATGCTGCTGACACAGCCCACAATCTTACTCATGTATCAAAACAGAGGAAAACACTCAAAGAAGCAATCCAAGGCAGGCAAAAGGAAGTGAGCTACTTGAGGCCAAAAAATAACACAAAATCCCAAAAGCAAACACAAAAACCCTTAATTGTAGTAGAAAGGAATAAAAGAATATCACACAAATCATGGACTAAATTCTCACCCTTATAAATTCATGATAAAGAAGGTGCCTTCAAATTACTAAAACAGCTATAGAAACATAATTATTTGGCTTGGTGAATTTCATAGTACCACCCGCTAAAGTGATCAATAGCAACTAGTAGAATACTGCTGGAAAAAATCAGTTTTTACAGGTTGAAATAAAAAAGTATCACCGGACGCCACAATCTCCTTCACAAACTGCACTTGTGCTGGCTGGACGCACGCCGAGCACGGCACTGCCGGAGCAGAGGCGGCCTGCGGGCTCATCACTGGCGCAGCTACCTCATGCAGGCCCCCCTCCGCTTTCTGTTCCCTCCGAGCTAACGATGACACCCAGTGCCTGCCTGCCGGCTCTGCTGCAGACCTGGCGCCATCCGCCTCCTGTCTCCTGCCGTAACTGGGAGAGGACTAGAGATGTCTGTTGGAAATGGGAATTAAGTGAGATGGAAAAATAGATTCTCATCACAAAGGAAGTGCCTTCAAAACAGACCACCTCGCAGATGAATGCTTGTGATGTGCACAAGGAACGCTGCCAGTTGAGGACAATCGCCTTCTCTAGAAAAATGACAACTTCTGAGATTTGCATTGTGAAACAAGGTCTTGCTATACAGTTCAGGCTGGTTTGAACACCCTGTGGAGCCCAGGCTGGTCTCAAATGCATGATCCTCCTGCCTCAGCTGCCTCAATGCTGGGATCACATTATCTGGCTGAGACTGATTTTTAAACAGAGAGTATCATTCACAATCATCTCTAAGAATCTAGGTTAGCTTAAAATCAAAGAAATACCTGATCACAGAAAAGGAATTAAACAACAAAAATGTTGCATCAATAGCTCTTTATCCTCCAGACAAGAAAGAAGGAAAGAGAGTGCCAATCTTCTTCTTCTTTTTTTTTTTTTTGGAACCGGGGATTGAACTCAGGCCCTTGCGCTTGCCAAGGAAGCGCTTATTCCACTGAGCAAGACTGCCAATCTTACAGTGCAAAGCAAGGAAAATTTCAGTAGAAGTGAGTTTAATTTTTATGCAGCTGAGTCTTAGATGGTTAAGACTTTAATATACATGATGTTTAAAACAGTCAAATCATACAACCACAAAAATAATAAAACTGTGGTAATAAGGAAATTATACAAAGGAACAGTGAGACTGGAAGAATCTATCTTTAGAAATCATATAATTTGCTTTAAAAGGCTTTTTTTTTTTTTTTTTTTTTTTTTTTTAGGGGGGAGGTACCTGGGTAAAAACTCAGGACCTCATGCTTTGCAGGAAGTTGAAAGGACTTACTGAACAAGATTATTTAGAAGTAATCTTCCAAGCCAGGGAGATAGACAAGGTCCTGGGTTTGATCCTAGGTACAGGAAAAAAAAAAAGTACTGTTTCAGTAGCTCAAGAAATGTTCAAATACACTCAAGTGCTCTACTTGTGTGGGAACATGCAACACTGTGGGGAACTTGCCTCTCCTGTCCGATACAGTCCATCATTAACTTAGTTTGATAGTGGGGTGACTATGTAGCCCAGGTGGCTGTGAACTCACTTGACAACCCTCCTGCCTCAGCCTCCCGAGTGCTGGGTTTACAGACATGTGCGACCACGCCAGGCATCTACAAAAGCCCTGCAGGTTCAAGTCAAATGAGTATATTTTAAAACCTTGGTGGTGGTCTCAATCTGTCCCTTCTAAAAGAAAAAAACTAAATTTCCCAAGGCCCAGTTGTTTTTCAGAGATGCACCGGACCCCACCATCCTGACCTGCACGGCCAGTCCCCTCATACCATCACGCAGTAAGAATGGCCGCGCCACATGCGCTGCGATCAGCCCACATCTGGAGCAGGCCCACGAGGGGAAGAGAAGAGTGAGCAGAGGAGCGCTGTCCAGCCACTGCACGGCTCTGTGCACCTTAATCTCTCTTTACATTTACCTTTAGAATATTAAAGATGGCACGTGCTCTAAACATGGGCTGAGCACTGCTATGTTTCCTTCTGACAGAGTCTGAGAGACAAGAACATTGAGAGTTGTGTACTTGAGCCTCATTCCTCCAGATTCCACTACAGAAAGACAAGGAAATGCTGAAATGTGACAAGCATCTAAACCTAGGAAATTACTAGAAAAAAAAGTCACACAGCTGTGGTAAATAACAGCTAAAGATTATTTTTCTCATATACTAAAGGCACCACTAGTATACAAATATCCTGCTAACATTTAGAGAAACTGAAATCAGAGAAAGTTCATCTAGTATACTGCCAGTATTTAAAAAAACAAAGAGTTGATTTTAAGAATCACTGCAGTTTCCAATGAGTTAAATTAACTCAAATACAGTAATAAGGAGCTTCATGTGAAGACTGTGGTTCTCACTATAATAAAGCATGATCACCTTCCTCCTTAAAAATATAAGCATATCATTAAAAAACTAAAGGCTCTCTCTCTCTCTCTCTCTCTCTCTCTCTCTCACACACACACACACACACACACACACTGGTACCACTGAGAAACTGTCATAAATTCTAAATAATTTTGATAGTTTTAGCAACACATATCCACACATGACATGCAAAGACAAAATGCCAGCATCACTGAATGGTTCAGCATGAAGCTAAAATACAGAATAAAACAGGCAGTAGATAAGGTACATCACAAACTGCTGATTGTATGACAGCACACTTGGAATTTAAAACCAAGTTCAGAACTTCATCAGTTCCAGGGAGCACTGCGCAAGGACCAACAATGAGCTCTCAGATGTGTCAAGTAACCAAATAAAAAGCTATATAAAAGAACAACAATTTATTTAATTAACAATATAACTAATACTTTGTAGTTTATTCCACTAGAAGACTAATTTGTACCCTGTAGACTTTGAAACAACTTTTTTAGAAATTACTAAGGCTGGTTCTGGAATAATTGAAAAAATTGTAATCACCCAAATGTAGATTGCTAGCTATAGTTCTGAGTAATTGGATGAAACTTGCTTTGGTACAAAATTTAGAATAAAGTAAAACTGGCAGCACCACAACCAGCGTGACCACTTGTTGCAGGTCTGAATGACCCTCTGACACAATGGAACGTGAGTTACAATGCATATAAATAAGAGTCATTCTCTTGACAACTGGGTTACATCATTAAAAAGAAAAATAAATCCACATCCAGTAAATTATAACCGAGGCCCAGTTTTCATGCTCCAATTATCCCTCAATGACAGCATGTTTATAATTATTGCTAATCTGTTGTCTAATTCATATTTCAAGGTTGCCTCGCATGAAAAGGCCAATGGTTAGAGTGGGCATTTTAATGCTTAGCCCACCGATACTTATTTTAACATAAGGTTTAGTCATTTTTCTTTTCTTTTTTTTACAGCTTTATTGAGGTATAATTGACATACTACAAACTGCACAAATTTAAAGTGCACAATTTGATATATAGTCTTTTAAATAGCATGAAAAGTGCCTTACAACGTACAAATTACAGATATTCAATTTAAACATATTATTTTAAAATAATACATTAGCAGCTCCATATAAAGACTGGTTCCTACTTTTAAAAAAGTGTGGTATCTTTCTATAAGACATAGATATGGATTTATAAAAAGGCAGATGGAAAGAAATTAATTCCCAAGTACAAATATTTATTTTTTTGAGACAGGGTCTCACTGTGTAGTTCAAGCTGGCGTTGAGTTCCCTATGCAGCCCAGGGTGGCCTCGAACTCCTGCAATTCTCCTGCCTCTGCCTCCCAAGTGCTGGGATGACAGGTGTGCGCTACCAGGCCCAGCTTCAAGTACACATTTATTCAGAAGGTTTGGCAACACCAAAATTGACAGCCAGTTTCCTTGACTTTCTTCTTGAAGAAGAGCGTGGTGCCACCTTCTGGTGAGACACGTTATGGGCTCCTTGGGAGGCCGCTTCACCTTGTGAAGAAGCTGCAGCGCTGGCAACCTGAGAGGAGTTCGCAGAGGCCGAGGAATGGTCCTGTGCAGCCACTCTGGCGCCCTCAGAGGACGCTGGCTTGCTAGTCTGGGCTGGGCTGGCTTGAGAAGAAGTCTGGGCCTCTTTATTCTCAAAGTTCTTTTTGTTTGCAACTCTCTTTTTGGTAACCTTCAAGGGAAAAGCAACAGAATAGGTAAAAAATAAAGCTACTGTCAGACAGTAGTAGTCAGGAGGGGTGGCACATGCCTTACAAAGCAAAACTGTATTTCAAAAAACCAAAACCCAAAATAAAAACAAAACAAAAAAGCAAAAAACAAACAAACAAACAAAAGTCCACCCTGCAAAACGCACAAATAACAAAAACAACAAAATACCCACAAGGATTTTTTTGCTCCTTTTTCTTGAGACAGGGTCTCAGTTTGTAGTGCAGGTTGCCTCTATCATCACTGTAGCCCACGCTGGTCGCAAGCCTGCAGCAATCCTCCTGCCTCAGGAGTACAGGTATGTGCCACCATTTCTGGCAGGATTTGGTAATCACTGCCGATTTGTGATTTCCATTTATTCAAACTTTTTTTTTTTTTTTTTTTGGAACTGGGGATTGAACTCAGGCACTTGTACTTGCAAGGCAAGTGCTTATTCTGCTTAGCTATCTCTCCGGCCCTCAAAGAATTTTGTTGCACTGAAATATTCAAATGTTACCCATAAATTAATTTTTTTTAGGTAAGGGTAAATTAAATATTTAAAATTTAAATTCCTGTTTTTCAATCACGTTGTGTTAGAATAGCATATTATTACTTGTTATGATAATTATTAATTATTAAAATATAAACTCAGCAGGGAATAGGTCAAATGCAGCACCATTCTACTGTCGGTTCCTACACAAGTAGTGGATTTCTAGCAGGCATTGAATAAATAAACTGAGCAAATAAATTGTTTTTTATTTTTCTAGTACTGGGGATTATCCCCACAGCCTCACACCAAGTAAGACAGATCTCCAGCCTCTGTTTTATTTTGCATTTGAGGCAGGATCTGGCCAAGTTGCTCAGCCTGGCCCCAAACTTGAGATCTTGCCTTAGCCTCGCAAGTAGCTTTGATTGCAGGTGTGTGCCACCACACTTGACTAAACAAAAATTTACAGACAGGTCCTGGACTGTAAAAAAATAATTCTCTCTTCAATCTTACCTGCAAAGGTATGAACTGATTGTGCGCACCACCTGCTACTGCCCCAGCCGTGGGCATGGCCCCAGGATACGGAGCCTGATAGAAGGGCTTCCCAGGAACTGGCACTGGTGGGACCCATGGAATTGCGCCAAAGAGATGAGATGATGAAGGGATTATGTTAGCTGTTAAAAACCAAAAAGAATTTCTCTCAGCAAAATCAGATCTCTGAAATTTAAGACCTCTTCCTGCTAGGCTCTTCTGATTACTATTTCTCTCCCCTTTAGTAAAAGCCCTACACTTACAGGATAATTACTCTGTGCACATGGGTCAACGTCAGGATCCTTTCTTAGGACTGAACTACCTACACGGAATGATAATTATGCTGCTCTGCAAAAGCCAAGGCTATATACACTTATATACTACAGGTTATATACACTTCAGGAATACCTGCAATTATATTTTTAAAAATAACAGGGTCAGGAAACTAATCTTGGGGAAGAAAAGCTTGGCACAAGGAAAGCACACTTAAGGCTCTCACCTTCCGCAGTGCTAAGTTGCTTCTATAGTGACCCCAGTCCACGAAGCCCAAAAAAGCTCAAGTCGTGAAATCTGACATGTAGAATCCTCTCTCTCATCTTTTTGAGGCAGGGTCTCACTGTGTACACCAAGGTCTCATTACACACTTCCAGGTCACCTTGAACTCACTATGTGGCCTAGGCTGGCCTTGAACTCACAGTGATCATCCTGTCTCAGCCTCCCAGGTTCTGGGATTACAGGTGTGCACTATCACGCCCAGCCAAAATTCAGTTCCTTTGTACCATGCCTCATAGCCTGCCTTGTCCTTTCAACTTAAGTATATTGGAATATTTATTTAAATATACAATATATAAGCAGTGTCTATATAGAATGTGACTATGTAAGTTTTATCCCTATAGAGGCCACCAAATCTGATTGTTTCTTTACATCTATAAATCTTTTTGTCTTTATTCTATAGTTAGTGATTTGATCCTTTCCTTCCTCCCTTCCTCCCTCTCTCCTTCCCTCCCTCCCTCAAAGACTGGGTCTCACTACATGGTCACCATGCCCAGCCAGTGATTCTCTTTTAAAATAAGCTGTTAGGTATTGTTTTTTTAAAAGACAGTCTCTGTGTAATTCGAGGGGCCTTGAACTCATGGTGATGCTCCTATGTCAGCCTCCAAGTACTGGGATTACAGTTGCTACCACAGCCCACTACTGTCTTTTTTTGGGGGGGGGGTGCTGGGGATTGAACTCTGGGCCTTGTACACACTAGGCAAGTGTTTTACCACTGAGTGACATTCCCAGCCTAGAAGAAGTGCTGCTTTGTTTCTGCAGAGCTGGGGGAATTGAACTCGGGACACCTGGGCATGCCAGCCAAGCACACTCACCACTGAGGGCCATCCCCTGACCCTGGACTTAACCTGAAGGCTTTCTCTAAATGTTGTCCATCTAGCAGATAATCCACTTTATCTGCCATGACTTCCCTTTCTCCAGTTGGAGCTTGTTGATTTCTAGACCTGATGAGCAGTTAATGTCTTGGAATTTCCACTTATTACATATCTACACCAGCTCTACAACCTCTTGTTTTATTTGCATAAATCTAGGAAGTTCTTAAGCAAGGGCACATAGGATATTAGTTTACCCTTAAGAGGCCAAATGATAAAAGAAATGACTAATCAATTTAAGATTTGGGATTATAGCGGCTGGGAAGATAGCTCAGTGGTCTAAACACCTGCCTGGCAAGTGCAAGGACCCAGGCTCAATCCCTAGTACCGCATGCTGTGCTGGTCCTGGAACCCCAGGTGCACATTGCCCGCCACTGCAACTGAGCATGGTGTTGCACACCTGTAATCCTAGAGCTGGGGAGGCTGAGACAGGAGGATCATTATGAGTCTGAGCTACATAGCAAGTCCTTGTAACAAATAAACAAGTAAAGATTAAGATTTGGGATCATAAAGTTATAAAATGCTAGTGTCAAGGAGGTTCTGAAGTCTGCTACAATGAAGTTATTGATGCTTTTACCTGTAATTTTTTTTTTTTTAACCTGTAATTTTTATGTCTGACCAAAACTCAAATTAATCTGCTGGCAGCTCTTGGAGAATAAGGGCTGCATACTATGAAGAAATGCCTTCCTGTGAATGCCATGCCAGGCAATGGAACAGAGAAGTGGTATTTCTCAATAAGTTTGCAGACTCTGGCTTCTGGCTAATGTCTTACAATTTCTTTCTACACTCATATTGGGCAAATTTTTGAATTTTTAAAAACGATTGTTCTTAAGAAAAATAAGTAAAAATATCAATGCAGTGACAACCACTTAGAAAAGCAAAATATCTTACCAGTATGTTGGGGGAAAACTGGAGGAATGGTTCCAGGTGGCATAGCAGGAGGGCAATTTGGAAAGAGTGGTGGAGGCAAAGGAAAATTCATTCCTAAGGAGCCCTGTGGAAGTATTTAAAGATATAAGGCAGCACAACAAAAGTTTCCATAGAAACATTATAGATTTTATAAGGAAGTCACACAGTTCTTACCAACTGTTGTAAGGCAAAAAGCGCAGCTTTCTCTTTGGCTTCATTTTCAGAGTGGCACTGTGGCCCATGCACCAGCAAACCATTCGATAACTTGACCTGGCAAATTGTCATTGTCTAAAAAATACAGAACATGAATGTGTATGAAATTAGCTAGCAAGAATGTCAATTTCTCCCAAATCTCAGTCTAAACAAATGGAATATTTTCTCTCCTCCCCTCCTTTTCCTTTCCCTGAATGGTCTTGGCATCTTTGTCAAATGACCATATGCATGGGGGTTTATTCATGGTCTCTCCATTCTATTGTTTTTTTCCTGAGACAGGGTCTCACTGTGTAATTGGCTTCAAGCTGCTGATCCTCACCTTCCCACCTCAGCCTCCCACATGCTGGACTGCAGGTGTGCGCCACCACAGCTGCTTCCATTGGGATTTCGACAGGGATGTACTGCCTACATAGATCACGGGGCAGTATGCTCCTCAGTGCCTTTCTTAAGCATTTTTTCTAAGTATTTCACTCTTTTTGATACTACCATAATAGATAACTTTAATTATTCTTTTCAGTCTGTTCACTGTTAGTGCATAGAAACACAATTGATTTTGTACTGATTTTATTTATTTATTTATTTATGGAACCGGGGCTTGAACTCAGGCCCTTGTGCTTGCCAGGCAGGCGCTTATTCTACTGAGCCATCTCCCCGGCCCCTTGTACTGATTTTATATTTATATGTTTTTATAGTTTTTAGTCTTAAGAGTTTTTATTTTTTTATTTTTATTTTTATTTTTTTGGAGGGAATAACTTTATTTTTTATTTTTATTTTATTTTTTTTATTTTTATGTGTGTGTGTGTGTGTGTGTGTGTGTGTGTGTGTGTGTCCAGCTCAGCCCACCAGGGGGCGCGGCTGGCTGGCATGTGGTGCTGGGGGATTGAACCGTGGTCCCTTTGCTTTGCTAAGCTTGTTCAAATAGGTGCTTTAGACCACTGAGCCATCTCACCAGCCCCCTTAAGAGTTTTTAAAATGAAATATTTTCTGTTTTCTACATATAAGGTTTTTTTTTTTTTTTTTTTTTTTTTTTCGGAACCGGGGATTGAACTCAGATCCTTGCGTTTGCCAGTTAAGTGCTTATCCTACTGAGCCATCTCCCTGGCCTTGTTTGTTTTTTGAAAAGAGTCTTGCTATGTATGTAGCCCAGGCTGGCCCCAAACATGTGGCAATCTTGCTGCCTCAGCTTCCCACCATGCCTGGTTCCATACAAGATAATGTCATCGTCATGTGCAGACAATTGCACCTTTTCCTTTTTAATTTGGACATCTTTTTTTCCTTGCCTAATTTTTCTGGCTAAATGTCCAGCAGAATGCTGAACAGAAGTGGCAAAAGCAGGGCTGGAATACAGCTTGGTGGCATAAACACCTGCCTGCCTGGCAAACCCAAGGCCTGAGTTTGATCCCTGGTACAAAAAAAAAAAAAAAAAAGTGGCAAAAGTGCACCTTGGCTTGTTCCTGATCTTAGAAGAAACTGCTTTCTGTTTTAGGTGAGACTGAACCAAGATCTTGGATGTAAGGAGTATATAACCACCTCGTAGCCAGGAGGTCTCAAATGCTAAGACCCTTTAAGAGGGTCAGTGAGGTCAAGCTTACAATAATTAAGATGTCATTTGCCTCCTTTCTCATTGCTTTTCCTTTTTTTTTTTTTTTAAGTATAGAGAGGAGAAAACATTCACGATCCAGTTTCATATTTAACATTACAACTAATCCTTAACAAATTAAAATTTCAATGAATCGTAGAATAGCTACAGGGGCCGGGGAGATGGCTCAGTGGAATACGCGCTTGCCTGGCAAACGCAAGGCCCTGAGTTCAATCCCCAGCTCTGCAAAAAAAAAAAAAAAAAAAAAAAAAAAAACAGCTACACTTACTTGAAAAGGCTATTGAAATACATTTGTTTCCTTTTTTCAACTATCATCTATGCAATGCTATATATTTTTGCTGAGGTAACATATTGCTACAGATTGATAGATGTGTATACAATAATCTATCTACTTCTACTAATTTACAGATGAAAACATTTTGAAAATGTACAGCAGGGGCCAGGGAGATAGCTCAGTAGAATAAGCGCTTGCTTGGCAAGTGCGGGGTCATGAGTTCAATCCCTGGTACTGAAAAAAAGAAAAAGAAAAAGAAAATGTACATCAATACCAATGAGGAATGGTGGCACACCCCTGTAATTCTAAGCACTCTGGGAGGGTGAGGCAGGAGGATCACAAGTCTCATAAGCCCAGCCTTGGAAACTTAGGTAAACACTACAAAATAAAAAGTTTAAGGTGATTAAAAACCTACCAGGGCTGGCCAAATTGCTCAGAGGATTCAAGCAGGTGCAGGAGCCAGGGGTTCAATCCCTGGGCCTGCCATGCCGGCCCTGCCCCCAGGGCACGCTGAGACAGCAATTGAGACTAGGCATGGTGGCACGCACCTGTAATCCCAGCACTTGGGAGGTTGTAAACAGGAGAATCACTATGATTCCAATCTAGTAGTGAGACCCTGAACACCTTATAGACCCTTCCCTAAAATGCAGAAAACAAAACAAAACAAAAAAACCCAAAACAACAACACAACACAACACAACAAAACCTACCAACAGAGCTTGGGATATAGCTCAGCTATATCCCAAGTGCCTTCCTGGAAAGCTCAAGGTCCTGAAATTGATTCTTAGTACCAAAACCAACCAAAATCAAACAAAAATAATACCAACAAAGAAAAGCCCAGGCTCTGACAGATTCACTGATGAATTCTACAAGAAATTTAGAGACAATTTCACACCACCACTTCTCAAACACTTTAATGAAATTGAAAGAGAAGCAACACTTTCAAATTCACTCCTGGAATCACACATTACCCTCATACTAAAAGCAGAAAAGGATCCAACCAAAAAAACAAACAGCCCCCACCCACAAATAAACAATAACAATAACAACCACCACCACCACCTATAGGCCAATCTCCCTAATGAACATAGATGAAAAAATACTCATTAAGAGCCTGGCAAACAGAATGCAGCAAATCATCAAGCTCATACACTATGACCAGGTGGGATGCATCCCAGGGCTGAAGAGATGGGGTTCAACATACACAAATCGTAAATGTAATATGCCATATCAACAGAGCCAAGGACAAAAATTACATTATCACTTCAATAAATGCAGAAAAGTGTGTGAAAAAATTCCAACACCTGATAAAAACACTACAGAATACTGGAAGAGATGATCTTCATCTGAATCTGATAAAAGCCATTTATGACAAAACAACAGCCAACATCATATTAAGTAGACAAAACCTGAAAGCTTTCACTGTAAAACCAGGACAAGACAAGGATGTCCACCGTCACCATTCTTATTCAATGTAGTTCCAGAAATATTAACCAGTGCAATTTTACAAGAGAAAGAAGTAAAAAGAATAATAATAGGAAAGGAAGAATTATCATTTGCAAATGACATAGAAAACCCCAAAATGCTACCAAAGACTTCTACATTTAATAAGCAATTTCAGTAGTGTAGCTGGACACCCAAGTCAACACTCAAAAAACAATAGCCTTCCTGTATACAAATAACAAACTCAATAAGAAAGAAATTAGGGAAACAACACCTTTCACAATAGCATCCAAGCTGGGTGTGGTCGAGTATGCCTGTAATACCAGCAATGGAGAGGCTGAGGCAGGAAAATCATTGCAAGTTCAAGTCCAGCCTGGGTTACAAAGTGAGCTGAAGGGCC